AAACATTATTTACTAAAAGTAATAACTTTATTCTATTCAGTGAAATAAACTAGAAATCAGATCCTAGGTATTCAACTACCTCTAATAATTATTCAGCTTGGCTACTCACTTTTGATGAGTTTCATTATATCGCAAGTATTGAATTGACTGTAATCTTACTATTGATGACTAATTAATTATTTTATTTCAACATAAGATAGTTCGACTGGTGTCATTATTTATCGATCAAATTGTCAAATGATGGGATTACAAAATAATCTGGGGACAATAAAGTTAGGTAAATACCTACATTAAGAATTCGAATTCTTAATAAAGCGATCGTTTTATTACTTTCGTCAAATTTGTGAAGAAGATACGATATGGATTTATGTTTGTGAAAATGGTAATCAGTTCGTCCAGCTTACTAATGAAACGATGATCTAATACCTCAGCGATCCGTTCTTTGGGTTGTAACCATAATTTTTGAGTCCATTAGGTCGAAAGTGAATGGTATTTTGATAAGAAAATTATCATATACATCCACCCCAGTATCTTGTCATAGACATTAGCTATTTTACGTCAGTTGTCAGAAGTTGATCGTGCTAGTGCAGGGTTCATACCGAAGCAATACTTATCTAATACTATTTATCCCAAATAGCTCGTTTATAGTGATGTGGACGAATTCAAAAATATTATTTCTCCATAGGCTTAATAGGTTGCATCTTATAATCGTGGGAAACCACAATACAGAGACCAATGGAATTTGACTGTTTTGTGCTGTGCAATTTATGCTAAGTGCGCCACAAACCTTTATGACTGGAGACTGACAAAGTATTAAGAAATGCTGTTTCATTTTGGAGTTACGGTGGTTACGCTAATAATCGTTCCCTAGCTAGGTTCCGAGAAATAACCAACTTCTATAAGGAATTATGTTAGCTAGTAGTCTCATCGCTTGAGTTATAATCCAGGAGTCATTATACTGATTCTAAATTTGTTTAAGTCATGATATGGACTTAGACGTCATACATGAAAACGGTTGTTTATATGTTAGTCGATCCAAATAAAGAATATTGACATGTGATATTTTTTGGACGGGAGACTATCAGTGAAAAGTTGTGGAGATTGCTGAATCTCATTGAGAACCTAGAGACACTTAACACCGTTGGATGATGACTGAGTGTTTGGAGGTCGAGCGTTTGCGTGAAAAACTGAAAGTCGTATGCTCGATTCCTGCTTGTTGAGTCGCAGATGAGTTCCTTACTAGGACAAAGCAACCATCCAGTCCCTACAAGTTTTACAGTCTAAACTAGATAGGTTCATGATTTCACTGAAAATTGATCTCCGTGAACGATGAGTAAAATCCAATCAATGCCAACTTTGAAGCGTTCCATCAAATACCATGCATATTGACTGTATCTAAATACCATGATAAATTTCCTTAATATCAAGAAATGAGTGCGGTTAGGAAGTTAAACCAATCTATACGTTTCGAAGTCTTGGAAGCATCATGAGAATTCATTCTTGTAAGTTAAAATCTGGCGAGTCAATTTATTACTATATTTAGACAATAACATTCCTGTCCCTAATGTCGAGAAATGAGTAGTTATTTTTCAAGCTGATGAGGCAACAGATTAGATTTGAATTCAAACGCTTGTATGAAGGGTTTTGATAAAATGTACCAAGTCACCCCAGTTACTGTTACGCATATTTCCATATACTACCAAGATCGTAGGTTCTTCAACCATAGGCTAATCCGACACTAACAAATATAGGTTCATTTATGTAATTTTGAGTGCCATTTATAAACTACACAGCTGCTCAGAACGACAAGAATATATCAGTATTACAATACGAAACCTATAAGCTGAAAATGTAACACCGTTAAACAAACGAACATTTTCATCTGACCGATCCAATAGCCCATGTGCACCATCGGTTTGAAATCAGGGTTTTCCAAATCCCCTAGGTGGACCCCCGTATCTATCAACTCGATTTATTTGCTGGACATTCGCTTTTCGTCCTCTTATTTTCGTAAACAACACCCCCGCCACGAGAAGGCAGCGAGTAGGACTTCCCCCGGCGGAGGCTATATACGCATGGCCGTGTGAGAGCATTTCGAGAGGGAGGATCACCATCACTCTCAGCCATACCACGGTATTTGTGGGTAACGTAGATTATTGGTGAAATGAGTGTTCTTTGTTTAACGGTGTTACATTTTCAACTTTTAGGTTTCGTATTGTAATACTGATATATTCTTGCTTTTCTGAGCAGCTGTGTAGTTTATAAACTGTGTAAATAGAACTCAAAACTACATAAATGAAATTCACGACGCCATGAAAATGGCAAGTAAAGCCGCTTGCGGCTTCGCGAAAAGTCCCGCTTATAAGGACTGGGTTTCTGCAGGCTCCTTACAACTCATCGAAGCCCGTCGGTCTACTCCGGGTGACCGTGGGTTTGACCATGAACGAAGGATTTTACGTAATGAAATCGGCCGAAGCTTGCGTAAGGGCCGAGAAGCCTGGTGGTCGAAGAGTGCTAATGAACTGGAAGCAGCAGCTGCATCTGGTAACCACCGGAAGCTCTTCCAACACACCCAAGCCATTTGCAGCAAGAAGTCTGGTGTGAGCGAAACAGTCTATGAGGATGACGGGATGCCGATCACTAACATCCATCGACGTCTTGGACGATAGGCAGGATTCTTCGAAGGGCAGTTCAACTGGCCTGCTGCTCCGGCAACATCGGTCAGACTGTCCTGCCCTCCATGGCCGGTGACGATTGATCCACCAACGTCATAGAATGAGTCGATAGTTGTCCCTATCTTTAAAAAGGGTTCGTTCCTGTAACAACTATCGGAGGATAAGTCTACTTCCAATTGCGTCCAAGCTATTGGCTTCCGTCATACTTCGTAGGTTGTTCAAAACCCGAGAAAGATTGACTCGCGAGGAGCAGGCTGGTTTTCGTTCCGGTCGAGGATGTATTCATCATATCTTCACCGTCATGCTTATCAAAAGCCAACAATCGTAGTGTTTCTTGACATTAGGGCTGCCTTCGATTCGTTGGACAGGACTGTTCTCTGGGATTGTCTATTGAAGAAGGGTGTGCCTGAGAAGTTTATTAACATCCTAAAAGCCCTACATACAAACACTTTAGGCAGAGTGAGGGCATACAACCACCTCTCTCCATTGTTCCATTCGAGCAGTGGGGTTAGGCACGGTTGCCCAATCTCGCCAGTCCTCTTCAACTTTGCCATCGATGACATTCTGGAAACAACGCTGATGGATGTAAGTAATGGCGGTGTGGATCTGTTGCCTGGAGAAAGACTTCTCGACCTTGAGTATGCGGACGATATTGTCTTACTGTGAGATAATGCCCAAGCCATGTAATCCGCACTTAATCAGTTGGCAATCAGTGTCCGTAGGTACGGTATGTGCTTTGCACCTTCGAAGTGCAAAGTACTTCTACAAGACTGGCAGGATTCTAATCCTGTACTCACCCTGGATGGTGAGCTGATAGAAGTAGTCGAGAAGTTCGTGTATCTAGGTAGCTGCATAAGTGCTGGTGGGGGTGTGAGTGATGAGACTAATTCACGTATAGTGAAAGCCAGAGCGGCTTATGCCAATCTGGGTCATCTCTGGCGCCTTAGTGATGTTAGTCTGGTTGTAAAAGGTCGGATCTACAACACGTCGGTGAGAGCAGTTTTGCTCTATGCCTGTGAAACCTGGCCTCTCCGAGTTGAGGATGTTAGACGACTCTCTGTGTTCGATCATCGCTGTCTCCGTAGGATTGCAGACATCCAGTGGCAACACCATGTCAGGAATACAGAGGTTCGGCATCGTGTGTTCGGGAACAGAAACGATAATGCAATTGGTGTCACCATCTTGAAACATCGACTTCGGTGGCTTGGACATGTTCTCCGAATGTCGTTCCAGAGAATTCCACATCGTGCATTATTTGCCGACTCTGGGACTGGTTGGAAGAAGCGGAGAGATGGTCAGTGTATGAAATGGTGTCGTAGTATGAAAAAAGCTGCAAAAGACTGGCTTCTGTCGGTCCTTCACGACTCTTTGGCTTGCGTAATAGAGATGGTGCAACACAGTGGCTAGAGACGTTATCAGATATGGCTGAGAATAGAAGCCAGTGTCGATCCTGCTGTAACCTTCTGTTACTTTCTTCATAAAAAGTGGTTGTTTCCTCCTTAACCGAAAGATTTTTGTTATTGTACCTTTCCTTTTCCCCCATTATTACTATTATTATTATACTACCTTACACTAGTCTGTTCGTCATAGTTCTTTTGTTTTTACGCTCCTTACCTTCTTTTTTTGTTCTAATTTTCATTGTTTTGTGTGGTGCATATATACTTGGTGCCGTCTTGTACCAATATTTATGTGTTCAAATAAATAAATAACGTTACTCCATTACCTTTTGGATCAGGCCTTTAGGTTGAAACCTCCGGGTGTATTCCCTAAGAAAACCACGTGCTTCGGTTTGGACACCCAGGCAGTGTCCCAGCACTGTACTGTAGTTATTTGTTTATTGACATTTCCGTCATTTCGAAATACATGATGAACTCACAAGTACCTCAAGTTTATTCTGTAAGCTTCAGGTGAATTTACTCATCATTTAACAATGTACCATGAAGTTGACTGCATTTTGCGGTAAACCAGTAGCATATCTCTGGATCTAGCATAGATTTATATTTTCAAACAGCATTTTGTAAAACTCGCTCCAGACGAATTTGAAATACTCGACCTTTCAGTTAAAATGTAAGTATTGGTGATAAAAATACAGCTAATTACGGCACTAACAATTACTACGAAGTTTCAAAAGACAATCTATCCTTAATCGAGTGACATACAGGAAAAAATCAGTTTCGTTGTTTATTTCAATAAAATATTTGCATATCCAAGATATAGAACGAAATAGGTATATATTAAATGTTATTTTTTGAACAATAGACAATCGATTAAGGACACAATCCCATCTTATGAACTGTGAATGTATTTACTTCGTTGAATATTCTATTAACCGTTTAGTTTTTGATTGCCTGCATTGAAATTTCAAAAACACATGACTTCTAGTTAATTATATCGAACCACATGATATTGTAAATAATTTTAAGAATAAATATCACACAGTAATGTATCAATTTAGCACTATATTTACTTATACTTGTTTCCACAACATACTGCAAAAGGGTCTAATAATATACGATAACTACTAACTCAGTATTTTTACGGACCCAGATGACAGTTCTATTTAATGAAGACGCTAATAAAATAGTTTTATGGACACTTTAGATAGACGCTAGAATACTTGAGGTGGACATCCCTCCATATCGGTGATGGATTTTGTTTTACGACAAGTATGTGTCAATCTTGACTGGAAGAAATGAAATTTTGAGAGGTGGCTTAGTGGTTAAAACGCTTAGCTTTCAAGCAATGTTTCAGGTCCGAACCCCATCTTTTTTAGTTCTGTTTGTATACCCTGGTATAAAAAGCAGCTCTTGCAAAACAATTGTGACTCAAAGTTGAATACACTAACCTATACTTTGTCAATGAGTAAGCAAAACAATTGAAGTAATTGACAGCTGACCATTTAGCTGTAATAAGATGATGCATGACGGAACTTCAGCACGATTTTACAAACCTTACTTGATTTGTAACAACTTGCGCCATCTTTAGTACAAACAAGATATTCACGCTCCTATCTAAAAACGAGTACATTACTAGGAAGTTCACTTTCTTTTACTTCGTAAAATATGACTTTCCAAAGTCAAAACTATTCACAGGTTACTAGTATTTGATCATTTGTTTTAGAAGTGTGACTGGCATACATTGAAACAACTGAGTACGCAATATTGAGGTTAGACGTAGAGTACTAGGTAGTGGTGGTAGATGGGTTGAATAGGCTACGAATTTACATCGGTTAAAGTAACTAGGACTTATGTTATGAACACTGAACTGCCAACTTTGAAACAATGTTGACTGGGGTCGTAAGTGTGGCATCAACCCATTAAGTTACTGACTACAGGCTTGAGATGTTAGGTATTTTTATGATATTTGTGGCCGACTGTCGGAGAATTTAGGTAAGATACCTCCGGATCGGTCTCATTCATTTAAATCCACCTACTCATAATTTTCTCCTGGATTCCGAGTTCCAGTATTATTTCACAAGTTCATCACTTCTTTTTCAAATATCATATTGTTTATGTTTAATTATTTTCACTATCATTGATATCATAATAACTCAAACTTCGCTAACACTAATCACGCTCATTTATTTTTGCTGTGCTGGTGTGGTATCTTGGTTCAAGAGACATTTATGCCTAGTTACATAGTGATTGCACAATACTTGATTGATTAAATTTAAATCAAGATTAGAATATACATTCATAATTGAGATACTATTTATACTTATTTTTAAGTAGGAAATTATTATTTGTTAACTATTGAGTTAACAGCAATCCAATTCAGGTGTTCAAAACATAGTATAATTACTGCTTAATGAATGAGTGGAACTTAAAGGATGCATACAACAAATCAACTATTCAAAAACAAGAGGCTATCAAATAATATATTGGCACTCACTGGATGGATGTGATGGCATTAATGGGAAGATAAAATATATATGTTGTGAGACACATAGTGATAAATCTTCTAGAATTTATGTTTCAAAAACTTCCGCCAGGTTCTCACTGGGTTGATAATCACTAGACCAACCCATATGAGCGATGCGCTGAGCCGTGACGCAGCAGTTTCTTTGAGTCGTTCCATCAGGTTTAGGTGATTGATAATAAGAAAGAAATCCAGTGACTAGTAAACGTTCACCAAGTTTAACATCTCTAAGAGCGCAGACCAATTTAGGACTGAAAACATGGACTCTATTCGATGTACTGTACCATACCATTTTAAATTTCAAATCATATTCATCCGCATCAGAAGTCTCAGTTAAATATTTATTTTCAGCATTTATATATCTGGGTGATTGGGTTTTCAAAAATATCAGAGTCCAGTTGCGATCTGGAGTTTTTTGCATTGGGAATGTCTTGGAAAAAAAGAGAATACAAATCACAAATATTAAACGGATTTAAGATTAAATAAGAGGAATTTATTTTGGAAAACGAAAAGGCAAGTTAAATAGTATCTATTTAACTCTAGAACACATTATTTTTGAGCTATCAGCAAGAAATACCTTAACGAACAAGGTAAATTAAACTCACAGTCGCTTTACCGAGTAATATATATACATAAATAAAGTTGCTTTCTCTGAGGAGCTAGATAGCTTGATTTCTGAGTTTTCATTGTTATTCTGGACATCTCTAATGTTTACTCCATGTAGAAGCGAGTGTTTTAATTATTCCAGTTTATTCTGATAACCCTGTTTACGATCAGCTGATTTTGTAGGCTTCGTTGTTTTCGTTTACTTTTGCATCCATGTTGGATATCTTGATTAGATGACCTCATACATATTGCTTCATAGACTGAGTTTACGTTGATATACCTGTGTTAATCATTAATTAATTTGAATACCATGCTTCTAAAAATTTTCTAGCATCTTGGGGTTTCTTCGATCTAAAATGTTGGAACTTCTCCAATCGAATCGGCGTTTAAGGTTGTCTGCACACATTGATATTGATGATATTCTTTAGTGTCGCCTCAATGATAATCTGTTTATGCATAAGCATAAGTACAGGGGGCGCCCACCTTGTGTAATTTGATAGTTTTCGCAGCTGGTGCAATTCGTATTGTACATTACAACAGCCAATAACATACAAGGTCATCGGAATAAACTGATACAAAACCTGTGGGATAACTAAAAAGCGCACTTTTACATGAAGTAGACACTGAATTTGACCATAATGGCAATTAAAACTTAGCAATTAAGCAACTGCATTTGCCAATTTACATGTACATGCCAAAGCACATTGGAAGAACGGAAAAAAGAGTACAACTTCTAAAGAATTTGAAACTGAGACACAATGGCTCTATACGGTGCAATAGCTCAACATTTAACTGATACAGGATATACCATTGAAATTCCACAAAACTTCAATAATATTAGGAGACAAAAAACGCAGCGTGTCTCCGGTTTGCCGAAGCAGCAGCAATAAAGAAACTCAGACTTAATTTATGTATTCAGAAAGAGGTAGTAATCAACTTATCACTACTACGTTAAATAGTTATTTGTTGTTAATATCATTATTATGATTATTTTATTAGTCTTTGTTATGTGATATGATTCTCGTCAAACTAATTCTTACTTTATGCAGACCGAAGTCAACCCATCACTCATCCATTTTTTCACTTACTCAATTCTCTGCAAACTCTTCAAGTCCCGTGAAATTGCTATGTAACCCATCATACTAATTTCTAATTCTGGACAATAATTGTAATCTTATGTAAACTCTTCATAAACTTTGAATTATCACACAATCTATCATATCTGTTTCCGAACTTCATTTAATTACTGCCTCACCCGCCCCCTATGTTGTATGTACTCCATCTCCAAATGACTTCACACCTGTTCTTACAAATATCGATATCAATATATATGTAATCATCATTGATAGTTCTTATGATTTAATTCTTTCTGTTATCAATTTTGTGTCACAATATATCATAACTCAATGTTACATTTTAATGCATATATGGCTGTAAGTAGCTGAAATGTAGCAGAATATAGGAAAGACTTTTTTCCTAAGATGGCCTGGCAAGTAAATTTATTGAAAACAAAAATTGGTACTAAGGAGCAGAGAAATATACATGCGCCACACAATAAAAATGGGGTAGTTAAGAGGTAGGGAAATGAGTATAATAAAAAAAGAGTGAAAATGAATGGAAATTAGTGCATGAGTGACAACAAGATCCATCACGTTTGCACAAATAAAACGTTCAGGTCTATGGAAGATTTCAGAACAAAGAGAGGGGATGATATAGACTCAAATCACCATCTGATGATGGTAAAGTTAAAACATAAGCTAAAGAAATAGTGAGTACCTTGGCAAACACCACTACAAAGGTCTTACAAGATCTACTCAAGTAAGAGAAAAATAATACAGAGAAAAACTGGAAAAGAATTAAGAATGAATCAACTTCAAGATTCAAGTGTTGGGACGCAAAAAGCATCAGCACAAAGAGTAGCACGTCTGTAGATGCTCCGAATAAGATATACATTTTCACAATCCATCGTTTTTTATTCTATTATTTTTACTCTTTTCCAATTATTTCAAAATTATTAATTGGCAATTATTACAACTTTTAATTAACGAATTCAAGATAGCTATCAGCAACAGGATCCAAACCTTACAAGATCTACTCAGGGGAAACCACTGTCGACGACAAAGTGGCACTAACTTCAACGTCTCAAGACGTTCTGGGCTCCAAGGAACATCATCACGAAGAATGGGCCTCCATCGAAACCGTCGTCAAGATTCAAGAAGGGAAGAACGAGAAGACAGCAATTAACAGCAGCCAAACAAGAACAGAGAAAGTCAAGGCACAAGCTGAATAAACAGAAGCAAACAAGCAAGCGAAGAAGAGCATTAGAGCTGACAAGCAGAAACACATCGAAGAACTAGTAATGACAGAGGGAAAAGCTGCAAGAGAAGGAAATATGAAACGTTTATATAAAACAATGAAGAGGCTCACAGAGAAATATTGTAAACCAGAGAGATTATTCAAAGACAAAGAAGGCAAGCCAATCACTGAAATTTAAGAACAACCGGACAATTGCGTAGAGGACTTTGAAGAACTCTTGAACAGACCAGTCTCACTGAACCCACTGGACATTGAAGCAGCACACACAGACATTCCTATAGATATCACTCCACCAACGATGGATGGCTATTAGACAAATGAAGAGTGGGAAAGCAGCAACCTGACTAAACCAGCTGGAGCACTGAAATCAGATGCACTACTATCGGTACTAGGAAAAGCTCTCAACAGTGTTGTTGAGCCAGATGAAAGGTTCAGTAGACGCCCGACTTCGAGATCAACAGACCGGATTCACTAAGGATCGGTTGTGTACAGACCGAATCGCAACACTACGGATCATCGTTGAACAATCAATTGAATGGAATTCGTCACTATACACCAACTTCGTTGACTTTGAGAAAGTATTTGACAGGCCCCCCTGAATGCCCTGGTACGGCCGAGAGTGGGGAGAGCCCGCTCTCCCTCTCGAAATACTCTCACACGGCCACGCGTATACAGCCTCTGCCAGGGAAGTCCTACTCATTGCCTTCTCGTGGCGGGGGTGTTGTTCACGAAAATGAGAGGACGAAAAGCGAATGTCCGGCGCTTTAACCGGACCCCAAACCAAATCAATGTTGCACATGGGCTCCAGTATCCTGCGGGAACGAATGGCGTATGAACCAATCGTTGGTCACCGGCTACCATGGGACTGTATCTCCTTACGATGCTCCACTGCCTTGTGGGTTAGACCTTTAGGTCAAAGGCTCGGGGAGTGGCCCCCTAAGATAACCACCTGCTTCGGTTTGGGCACCCGGGCAGTATCACAGCCCACACACAAATTGATGAACCCTTTATGCCTATGGAAATTACCTTTCTCGCTTCGAAAAACGAACAATTAATTCAGATTATTATCATTACAATTATTGTCATTATTAGTACTAATATTATTATTACTACTATTATTGTCATTGTTATTATTATTATTATTATTTTCCACATTATTCACCCTCTTTTATACTTATACAGCGGCTCGTCTTTGGTGGAAATCCGACTGTATCTAATCGTTCTCGAGTCACTGTCCGGTTGAAAATTGTATGTTACCACCGAATACGAGGACTGAAGCAGTTTTTCTGAAACCACGTGCACCATTCAAACTGCCTGCCTTCAACGTTCGCAGAAAGATTTCTTCCGATTGTACATTTGCGTTCCCTGATTACTAGCACATTACCTTACACCAATCTCTACGTTATTGTTCTCTCTTCTTTTTGTTGCGCTCCTTAGTTTTTTTTTCTTTCTTTCTACTTCTCTTCGAATTCTCATTGTTTTGTGTGGCGCATATATATTGGCGCTCTCTTGTACCAATATTTATGTGTTCAAATAAATAAATAAATAAATAAATTTGACAGTGTGGATAGAGGAACCTTCTCTAACACTATGGTGTACCTGAGAAAACCGTCAACATCATGAGAAATTCATACGACGGACTACACTGCAAAGCCGTGCATGGAGGACAGCTGACAGACTCATTCCAAGTGAAAATCGGTGTTAGACAAGGCTGCTCACTCTCTCTCTCTTTTCCTTTCATCTGGTGGTCGACTGGATTATGAAGACCTCCGCATCTCAGGGAAAGCACGGAATACAATGGAGAGCTTGGATGTGGCTACATGATTTGTTCTTTGCAGATGACCTAGCTCTTCTATCCCATACACACCAACAAATGCAGATGAAGACAACTAGTATAGCAGCAGCCTCTGAATCCTTAAACCTTAACATACATAAGGGAAAAAACCAAGATACCCAAATACAACACGGAGAACACCAACCTAGTCACACTTGATGGAGCTCTGGAAGAGGTGAAGACGTTCGTGTTACTGGGCAGTTTCATTGGTAAACAAGGAGGATCTGATACAGAAGTAAATGAGAGGACTGACGAAACAAGAGCAGAATTCCTACAGTTGAAGAACATATGTAACTCGAAACAATTGGCAGCTAGCAACAAAGTCAGAATCTTCAATACGAACGTCAAGATAGTTCAACTGTACGGAGCTGAAACTTGGAGAAATACTACAGCCATCATCAACAAAGTACAAGTATTTGTAAACAATTGTCTACGCAAGATACTCAATGTTCGTTGGCCGGATGCCATCAGCAACAGCCACTGTGTGTGTGAGAGAGAGAGAGAGAGAAAGAGAGCAAACCAGCATTCAGCTAAAGTGGAAATCAGGTAAACACACTTGTAGCGGATAGGTGACACACTACGGAAATCATCAAACTGCATCACGAGGCAAGCCCTAACTTGGAATCCTAAAGGGAAACGAAAAAGCTGAAGACTGGAGAACATATTGGGCTGCGAACTGGAAGCAGACATCCGAAGGATGAATAGCAACTGGAAATAACTGGAAAGTATTTCCCAGGACAGAGTAAGATAGAGAATGCTGGTATGCAGCCTATGCACCTCTACGAGGGGTAACAGGCGTACATTAGTAAGTACAACTCCTAATTATTCTGTCCTTAATAGCTACCAAGTAGACAATTATTATCACTTTACAACTTTTTCGCCAGCCGATTATTACATAACGTCGTTTCAATATGACTCTAACTCGGAATTCTAAAGGGAAACGAAAAAGCTGAAGACTATAGAATACACTGCGCCGGGAACTGGAAGCAGACATCAGAAGGATGAATAGCTACTGGAAAGTACTCCCATTACAGAGTCTGATGGAGAATTCTGATCATTGGCCTATGCTCCACAAGGAGTAACAGGAATGAGCAGTAAGTGTGAAACCGAAAATAATAATAATGGGAGTTCATTTTTAATAAAATACAACCAGATAAGATCCTTTCAGTTGAAGTTTCTTTCACTTATATGGAGAAAGTAAAAAAGGTTATAACAGGATCTTCACAGGGTTCTATTCTTAGTCATGTCTGGTAATGACTCAAACCAGTATGTTGCACTATTTTTTAAACTCCAATCACAGAGTCGTGACGTGTCAAGAGATGCGAGTCCTGCAGAGTTTCTTTACATACAAAGAAACCATGTCAAGCACTAACCACTTCTCCGCTTTTTCCAACTGGCTACAGCGTCAGCAAATAATGTACCATATGGCAATTCGCTGGGACATTTGTAGTACATGTCCAAGCTATAGAAATCGGCGTTCCAAGATGACTCCAGTTCAATTATCGTTATTGTCTCCGTACGTCCGCATTGCCACCATGATGTTGCTGCTGAATCCATCTGAGGCGATGACGATCAATCACGCAGTCACTCAATATCCTCATTCCGGAGAGGTCAGACTTTACAAGCATGGAGCGAAACTGCTCTTAACGACTAGTTGTAGATCCAACATTTAATAGCCAGACCGACATCACGAAGACGCCAAAGATGGCCCAGATTGCTATAAACCAGTCCTGTCTAATGAGTAGAACTCGATACCAAGAAAAACAAAAACTGTTGGCCTCCAGTAAGTGTGGAGGTGTTTGAACATTTTGTGAAGGCTGAAGATGTCACCAATATATCCTTGATCAGAACGAAAACCGGCTTGTTCCTCGCAAATCTATTTTTCACGGATTTCGAACAATCTCCAAAGCATGATGAAAGCCAATATTTGGATGCAATCGGAAGCGGACTTATCAACCGATGGTTTTTGCTTAGGTGAAGTGACCTTTTTAAAGTCACGGACGACTACAGATTCACCCAAGGATGTTGAAACATTAATTCCCAAAAAACTCAGTTTTATAGACAGGAAGGCAGAACGTACGTAATTTGGGCGCGGTAATTTATGACGTTTAATCCCAGGATACACGAAAAGTGGTTTTTGATTTGAATGACATTTGAGACTTACATTTTCCCACGAATTAATCAATCTTGTGAAATTTGAATTGGAGCCCGTCATTACAAACTTCCCTTCTGGGTGAGCATCGGACACGCCACAGTTATACAGATGAAAGGTTTGTCTAACATAGAACTATTAAACAAGCTATGTTAATCAGAATTCATTTGACTATAGTTTATATATATATATATATATATATATATATATATATATATAGAGAGAGAGAGAGAGAGAGAGAGAGAGAGAGAGATTAACAGATGTATGACTAGCAGAAAGTGACATCCAAGTGTTTAATAAAAGATAAAAGTAACGACTAGTAGATGAGACAGTGAAATATTGTAAGGATAAATAGAGCTAATTATTAGTAAGTTCATTTATCATAAAATACAGTATCTCCTCAATAGAACTGGTAACTTACTTTTATTCCGATGACAGTCCCGAGTAACGTAACTGAATTCACGGAGAAATTGAGGGATTTAAGTTTGTTGGAATTAGTTTCAGATTCCTGGTCACTAGCTACTGATGCTTCGGATAATCCAGTGACTGGAACTACTGAGTACCGATTGCTAACATAATAATGCAGCCAACCTGTCCGTAATAGGTTAATCGAATACATTTGTCTGGAGAAAGTCATTCTAAGGCTTTGCAACCTGTAACGAATACAAACGTTAAGGAAAATCACTATCCAAAGATGAATTAGCGTTGGTCTTAACGACCTGGGAGCGTGACTGTACAGCCCAAGGGACAACTGCTTGAGGCCAGTCACGCACAGCCTTTGTGGGAAGTTCTTAACGTGATAGCTCCGTTTTTCAAAAGGCCTTACCGCCGGAGACGAAAATCCGCGAAGTGTGACATTTTTAGGACCTACCTTTTCTAATCTTTTCCTTCCTTCCTTTTGACAAAGCAGCATCGCTGCAGATGCTGGTTGTCCGAGCGAAACACTTACTGCTGTCACATCTCTCTACTGTCAACAGTACTCCGTTCTCAGACCTTGAGTTGCTACTTTTAGTCTTACCGCTCTCCAGTCGACTAGCTTGACATGGTCGAACCTACAGCCAACATGGCTCGGTTGGATCATCACCATAGGTGAGCCCGACCACCACGTCAAGGTAGCAGCTACGGTTGGAAGAAAGCTATGGGAGACCGGACCAAAATATGGCACAAATCCATGAAGTCACTGACAAGTAGACTGAACCATGTTGGTAGGTGTAGACTACCCGGTTGGGATCCGTGAGATGATAGCAACAGATGGTTACAAACCTTGAATGACATGGTTCAAAATCGTTTGCAATGGCGCAGGTGCATCTTCTCTTTGTGTTCTCCCAAATTCTAATCTCCTGATTTCTTCATGTTCTTTTTTCCTCTTTCCAAATTTATTTCACTGGATTATACTCCTTAAATAACATCTTCAAACCTTCATCTTTCCGATTACTGCTTATACTTTTACTACATCTACCACTATGGGATTTGAATAGAAAATTGTATCACTGTGCTGTAGCATGGGAACTTGAACTGATGTACATACGTACAAAGTTCTACGTTGTTGCTGACTGACTGACGTATCTGGAGATGTCACCGTACAGATAAGCTGCGATGTTGGTGATACTTTTGTAATCATTCGTTCAGTTTAAAGTGACACTTAAAAGTACGAGTTCAGACTTATAAATGTTGCTCAACTAATACAGATTATCTACGGAAAATCAGGTTAAGAATTTACTAAGGCAGATTTTGAACATATAACTGTTATGACTAGTTGAGAAAAAGCAAATTTCTTATACAGCTTTAAAAGGGTATCTGCAAAAATTCTTTAGAATAAAATCAGCGCAGCTAACATGGGTTTTTACCACGAAGCTGTCTTCCCATTAAGCCAGTGAAGTGTTTCGGTAAATGTTGATAAGCAATTATCTTGAAGGGTAAGCGGCGATCAGTAATCTCCAAACCATAACTGTTACTCCAGGTTTTTAGTCAAACACACAAGTTTGATAATTTACTCACTAGATTAACCTTATTTACTCAGAAAAACCCTGCTTTATGCAAAAGAGCAAGCTTAAATAACACCCAATCTTATTTAGAAATTGAGTGCGGGTAACAATTTTTACTACATAGATAACAAGAACCCTAATGATGATCAACAAGAAGGATAGGTCGTATATGTTGGAACACAGGATCTATTGTATTTCTACCTTGATAAGACAAAAACGATTAACTCTATGTGAAACAATGGGTATACGCTCACCTGTACACAGGTACTGAATATGATTATCATACAACCGCCTCTGTCAATAGTTCAGGTTCTAATTAGACATACCCCAATCTTCCTATTTTGGGGTTCTCATCAGAGTCGTAAGAATATTGGTAGTTTTCCCCAAAGCTTGAGGAAAATTTGTGCCATCTCCTCAAGGATTTCTATTGCGGCCCCCTCAAAAGTGGGAGATTGGGATCATTATTAAACTAGCTGACGATACTGTAATACTACGAGAATGGGCAACCTGGTCGCCGCATGCAACCACACGGATATATACAAGGGTTGTCGTGATGTCTATTCGCCGTTTGAGTAAATCTCCCGATGACATGCGTGTATATTCTCAGCTCAATTAGCAGCTAACCGAAACTGTACAACTAAACGTATTGATCTAACCAATCAATCAGTCAGTAATTTCAAATCAAAGTTCGTCTCTATCTTATCGTATTATCTAATGTCACCAGACTAAAAGTCAAACTTACCGCGGCAGTGTGTGCTACAACATGAGCCGTACAACACGAGTTATAGCGCGAAAACTCGATATCATGAAACCTTGCCCCTACCTCTCTAAGTAACAACGCAGGCAGGAGTGTAATCAACCTTTGAACACTAAACTAATAATAATGATCATGTAGTGTCACCGAAATGAGAATTTGGCCCTAGCAAAATCATCGTCATCGTATGTGGGACAGTTCACTGATCCCCGTCAAGGTCAAAAACAACTAATTGCACGCTATGGGCTTCCCATGCGGTGGTGATCACTCTGTTTCTTACACCTACTCTTACTGGTATATTTTTGTAATAACGTCGTTTATGCTGTACGGTCATCAATGCAGTCATGGTACCGTGATACGACAAAAGGCTAATTCAAGTTAGGTGCTAACCGCAAGATGTAACTTCAAAATTAGCTAGTTGGCAACACCATTCTCGTATACCTCGAGTAGGCCTACAATCCCTCGACACATATCGCCTTCGTAAATGATATACAATCAACGTACTGAACACACCGCTCACTCACTAAAGCCGTTGAGCGAGACTGAATATCGTGGTTTGGAGTCCCACATACGAAATCGTGGGTGCGCACTGCCGAGGAGTCCCACACTAGGTCTAAATGGCCGCCCAGTTCTTCCAGATTTTTAATGGTGATGCAATGTTGATCTGTCCATGGTTCAAATTAAAACTCAACAATCTGCAAAACTTTATACTGATAATAAACGTCTGCTCTCAACCGACTAGCTTCGAGAGGAAACTTTCGGAGTTCTAATTTGAAGCCGTGATCAGTGAAGTTCGACTTTCCCAAATGTGGGACAGTTATCCATCGAAGACAAGAGGAGATGGTGGCGCAATATCGTGGGTCATTTGAAATATCTCACCACACTAATATAATTTTCATTGCTGATAGCCTTATTTGATGTCATATTATTCGTACAATAAAGAACTCTCAGAAAAATATTTCGACAAGTTTATTTTACATATTTAAAGAAGAAAAATAACAAGTGAATACAAATTCACATCAGTAAAATGAGTAAGCAACCTGGAATTAAATGAAATGTACCTTTTTAGAAAGATTCGAATGCGTACAAATTTTTTAATTAGAAACATGTTTATGAATATAAGTTATTGGCCACGTCACTTCTTAAGACCTATTTGTCACAATATATTTGCTAACTAATGCATCGTAGATCTTCCATACTTTTGCTTGCATGTATTCATTCCAATGTATTGACATCTCATGCTACCGGAATATATACAAAGAAAAAGATAAGAACGACGTGGATGGCTAGTATCTGATAAGATAACATCTGCCAGGAGTTTGCGAGACCTTAGATGCCTGTCTACAATCATACCAAAAATGACTTTTAAAAATTCACCACATACCCTGCTAACTCCCGTTAGGACTCTCTGCGACACTGCAAAGTATTTCATCAAAATCCCGGGAAAGAATAATGAAGAACAATAAAGAATAGTAGGCGGTATGAGAAAATTGGCAAGTTGTAGGAGTAAATTTCGAGTAATCTCAAAAGCATGCAGCCTCTTCATATAGTAAATTAGTCGGGAAACGTTTTTTAACAATGGTAAGACAAGTAAAGATCAAGAAAGATCGGAGGGAAATTTACATTGAGATAAACGACTTCTGATACTGTGTTTATTAAGGAATCTCTATTAATACAAGCTTTATAAAATTCCAACAGGATGCTCAAGTGATATTTACACCTTATGTAAAAATCAACATTCTAACATTCAGAAGGACTGAGTGTATTAGCAGCAAGAACAAGCCATTATTCAATGGGTAACAAAAACCCACTCATTTCACAGGGATATGAAGAGACAGAGATCGGTGTACATACAGTGAAATCATCCACAAACTTAACAAAAGTATTTTCTGTAGACGGCAGATCATGCGCAAAAAATCAGAAAACAAAGGATTTAAAAATAACCACTTGTGGCACAACACTTAGTGAAGACAACGGACACTTCCCTCCAAACACAGTATACTGTTCTCTTCCAGAGAGGTAGGAACACAGTCGGTTGGATATCCAGCTGTCAGTGTTGATGGTGATTCACTTGTTAAGCAGACGTCGTATTGGAATATAGTAATAGGCAGAAGTACATTCTCGAAAAGCTCATCGAACATACTTCTTACTTTTTTCGAAGATGAACATTATATTAAGATGCAGGACAACAGCAGCATCCACAAATTTGTAGGCAGACTGATATGGATCAATGTGCTCTTCTAGTTCAGGCTGAAGTACGGGTAGCTATAGTTTTGTCATTGTTTTGAGATAATGTGAAGTTATTACTATGGGTCTACCTTTAACATTCTTATCGTCAGATACTCTTTTCAATATTGGGTTTATCCTAAACTTTCTCCACATTTTCGGCATAAGATTAGTTGAGGATTTGTTAAAGATGCTCGTCAATGGATAACGCGAAACGTCCGTACATTCCTTAAAATGGAGGTCTTGGATTTCATTAGGTCCCAAAGATTGGGACGATTTAAGTGAGTATTGACATTTTCGTATGTCAGTTTCAGTGAAAACCGGAACACAAATATTCTTTAAATCTGCGGATATAGGAAGTATGATAGCAGATGACTGACTTAAAAGATCTTTTTAAGTCACAGACATTCATCTGATCAAAATCTCTGATGCGTCTCTCATCTCTAAGACAACAAAAGCAAATTCAGCGAATTCATCAACGAAAACAGGTAGTGCAGATGATTTTCCATCCGGAGTCACGTAGGTGTTGGCAACGTAAAACTAATTGTATTTGTCCAAGATTTTGGGACAGCATCTTAAAGTGTAACAGTTAATAAAGTCATTTGAAAACTTAAAAAATACAAAAGTAGATCAACGATAATTCATATTTGTTAGTGTGACTACACTGCTGCCACAACTTTTCTCATTACTCAGTCGATACTGTCGATAGATATAAAAACCATGTGGTAGTGATGATAAACACTCGTATTGTAAATCATTTAACCAAGAGTTTTGAGTTGTAATTATACCAAAATTAGACTAAGCAGGAATTGCAGATAGTCCACCCTACCAACTGGAGTTATTCAACAAGAAGTTAGCAGTTCTGAAATTGACATCTAAATAATTTTTATTCTTTTCAGTGCACGTTACAAGTCAGTACTATATCCTTGGCAGTACATCTGTAACAGCCTAGGTTGGTTGGTTAAGAGTTGACCCCAAACAACCAAGCATATGCCAAAACAGTACTGTTCAAGTATTCATTCACTTCCTTGTTTTGTATAAGCGTTATATTCCCTATTATCTTATATTGAATGTTGAGAGCCTTTGTTTGTCTGAACGGGTAATCCGACGCTCCACTGTTACCGCGCTGAGATCGAAATAAAGACCTATTCACTACTTCTCTGGTTTCTTCTATCAATAGCACGAGGGTTACTTTAAGGCACGAAATTGGTGAGCCCTTTTTGAACACAAATTTAACCTCATTTCTGTTATTAACATTTTTTTTACTTAATCGTAAAAGTAGACCTGATTATCCGTAAACTAATTTGAGTATATAGCTAGTTTATTCCGTATTATCTTAAGTTATTCGTGTTATAGTAACCACTTTTTGTGCTAACTTTATTGTTATATTTGTCACATACCTCATGTCAGACTCAATAGAAACCCATAATCTGGAGGATTTGTCACCAGTGGAGATAGACACTGTTATGACTACGAAATCCCGACTTCCGGAATTTGATCGTAGTGATCCTGAGTTGTGGTTTGCTCAACTAGAGCATTATTTCACGAGACACAATATCAAATCTGAAGGGATTCGCTATAGAGACTTGTGTTCTATCCTTCCTCCTTCAGTCGCCAAAGAAGTCCGTGACTTGATTTTAAGTCCACCATCACCACAACCATACACCATCTTAAGACGAGAGATAATGAACCGTTTATCATTATCAGATAGTCAAAGAATCCAAAGACTTTTTCAAGGTGAAACACTAGGTGATCGGTCGCCGTCACAGTTTTTACGTCACCTCCAAGTCTTAGTGGGTGATAACACAGTGGGTGAAGCAGTCCTAAAACAAGGATGGATACAAGCTCTCCCATGCTACGTCCAACGCTGTTTGGATGCACAAGATCCTGAAACCTCATTATCTCATTCAGCGCGTATAGCCGACAGAATAATGGAAAGAGGTCCTCCAACTGGATCAGGCATAATAAATCACACACAAAAAGTAGAATCAGCAAAAGACCCCGTAATAGAAGGACTCATTGCGAGTGTTAAGAGTCTCACTGAGGCTGTCACCAGAATGCAAATGGGTCATAGAAACAGGAGCAGGTCACCACAACGACCACGATCCAAGTCACAAAACGGGTCACAAATGTCCAGACAATCTGGGCAGTTTTGTTGGTACCACTGGAAGTTTGGTGTCAACTCAACCAAGTGCATGCAACCATGCGCCTGGCCTAAGCATAATTCTAAGTCAGCGGGAAACGAGTAACCCCTCCCCAGGTCGCGACGACTGAGGAGGGGCGCCTAAACAGTCGCTTATTTTATGTTAGAGACAGAAACTCGGGCTTGAATTTCTTGGTGGATACTGGCGCTGCTCTTAGCATCATTCCTCAAAATAAAACTGAGATTAGTCGAGAAACATCATCAATTACACTTCAAGCTGCAAATAAAACTAAAATTGCGACATTTGGGCAGAAAACTTTAACCCTAGATTTGGGGTTCAGGAGGCAATTCCCTTGAGTTTTAACGGTAGCCGACTTAGATCTGGCAATACTGGGGATGGACTTTCTAGAGAGATACGAATTTCTAGTTGACACCAAGAAACGGCGATTAACACTAAAAGAAACTTCGTATTACACAAAAGGCAAAGAAAGTCACATCAGCTCTCTTAACTTGATTCAAACCCCTCCAGTAACAACAGCGAAATTCCAAGATATACTCGCGGAATTTCCAAACTTAACTAAACCAAACCCACAGCCTTCCAAAGACAAACTAAAAGTGAGTCACACTATCAAAACCGAAGGTGCACCGGTGTTTGCAAAACCCAGGAGACTAGCACCAGATAAGCTCAAAATCGCTAGGGCCGAGTTTGATTATATGCTACAATTGGGTATTATCCGTCCCTCTGATAGTCAATGGGCATCCCCTTTGCATATGGTCCCAAAGAAGAATGAAGGTGACTGGCGACCGTGCGGGGATTACAGAGCCCTAAACCGTCAAACCGTACCAGATAGGTGCCCAATACCTCATATCCAAGATTTCACCAACGGTTTACAGGGTATGAAAATATTCACTAAAATTGATTTAGTCAGGGCATATCACAATATCCCAGTGGCTGATGAAGATATTCCCAAGACAGCTATTACTACACCCTTTGGCTTATTCGAGTTTGTACGCATGCCAATCGGCCTGAGAAATGCGGCACAGACATTTCAAAGATTCATAGATAACCTACTTCGAGATATGCCATTTGCGCAGGGGTATATAGACGACTTGTTAATTGCCAGCCCCGATTTGCAATCACACGAACAGCATGTACAAGCAGTGTTGAAAAGACTGGATGAACATGGAATAAACATACATCAAAGTAAGTGTGTTTTCGGTGTTGAAACTTTAGAATTTCTCGGTCACACAATAAGCCCAGAAGGGATTAAACCTATCAAAAAAGAAGTGGATACCATCAAACAATACCCCGTACCTAGTTCCCTAACACAACTGAGAAGTTTTCTAGGCCTAATTAACTTTTATCGCAGATTCATACCAGGTTGTGCACAATTAATGCAACCTTTGACAGATTCACTTAAAGGAAAACCAAAAGAATTCAAACTGTCTTCTGACGCCATCGAAGCTATTAAACAGCTGAAAGATAAACTGGCTGAAGCAACTACGTTGATATATCCGAATTCTCTTTCCCCACTTGCTTTGATGGTGGATGCTTCAGATAAAGCAGTAGGCGGCACCCTTAACCAACTGGTTAAAAACGACTGGAAACCAATTGCTTTCTTCTCGAAAAGACTCGCTCCAGCCGAAACAAGGTATTCTACCTTCGGGCGAGAACTTCTTGCAATCTACCTAACCATTAAACACTTCCGACACATGTTAGAAGGTAGGGAATTTATAGTCTTTACGGATCACAAGCCACTAACGAATGCACTAAAAGCGAGAGCCGATAAATACTCACCTCGAGAAGTCCGACACCTTGACTATATATCACAGTTCACAAGC